CTGCATTAGTTTTTCAAATTCAATGATAATTTCTGCTGATAAACATCTCATATTGTTTTCCCTATTTTGTTAGGGCAAAACGATTCTGACATGTTGAAGAATGACTAGATGAACTTTTTCTGTTGAGGGGTGAGATATCATCAAATTTTCTTTACCTCGAAAGTGGAGTATCAGTGAGCATTTTTACATTTTGTAGCTTTGAGATTTATATCCTTTGGCCTTGGGAGTTGGCCCTTCTGGTGCACGCTTTGGCCCAATATATGGGACGGTTCCCATTCACTTTTGAGTATGTGACAAGTGGCCGGCCACCATGAAGACTTTATACCAAGTTTCTGCTACCAGCGTCGCAAGATCTATATTCTGCTCAGCATGTTCTTTGCTGGATAACCACTGCTGCCATTCCCAATTGTAAAGAAATTTGTGCCGCTTGCTCTCTACCACTGAGGCCAAAGAGAAATGTGGTATCCAGCTGAAGATTGAGGAAGAGCAACTCCGTCCCGGTCTTTCAACAAGCCTGAATAAAATGGAGATAAGAATCATGGTGACATGTTTGGCCTAGGACTTCAGATGAACCTCATGAACAATGCCCCCATTATACCTACTTTCTGACAATTGTCTTCAAGCAGATTGCGGTGAGCAGAATCGGGTGCTGCCCATGGCCGAGGCTTTAATTATGAGACGGCAGTGATTGTTGACTGGTGGAATGATACTTGAGTTGTGATCTTTCCAGTTCCACAACTTGTTCAGTTAATATGTGAAGGAAGCAAACTTCGCGGATTTACAATGTCGATTTTTAACACGAACTGCAATACAATGTAAACAGATTTAATTTTCTGCTCATGATTTTACGATTTTCCTTGTACTACTATTTAGATAAGGTTTTTATATGATAAGATGCAAGAAGCCTTTTTCTAAAGCAATGGAATGATTAACAAGTTTTCCGGCGGGACGTTCTTGAGGGCTCTAGGACGGGAATTCTTATTTATCTTTCGCAGTTCAACAACGGCGACAAATCTCATGGACGACAATTGTTGATAAGAGAACTCTCTCACATTTCGATCCATTAGCTTTACATTGAATTCGAAACGGTGCATCCTTCAAGAGCACAACAATGCCGCGAGCCTGCGATACAAGATGGAGTGAGTCACGGCGGATTTACAACTCCTGCCAGATTCCTGGTAGCCGATCCACATTATGCTCTATTCACACATCATAATCAAATACCGCAAGCTCTTACAGTATTCATAATAATCGAATATCGTGTGTACATTACCACCCATAGAAAATAACACGCGACAGTACGCACAGGCTAAAGCTCTTTCAGTATCGTAACATTGACAAGCTAAAATCTTGCCGCATCGCTTGTTCCTCTGCGATTATCTAGGTTACCGGCTCCTTCCAACCACTCCTTTAGTTTATTTTCTCTGTCAGCCTTGAATTCATCATAGTTTTCTGCCATTGGTAATAAATGAGGAGTCGACAAGCTCTCATCAGCTTGTTCTTCTTGTGGTTCGTCAGCAACAGGACTCGACAAGGGCAACTCCTCAGCTTCCACATCCGGCATAGATGAACTGGTGCTTGCAGAAGCAACCGATAGTGATGGGTTAGAATAATAGGTCTGTGTTAATTCTTCAGGATCACGTTGCGGCCACTTGAAACCACTTGCTTTTTGTCTGGCAGATTTGATTACGGTAGAAAAATAACCTCTTTCGGTATCCTGTTGGGCATCGCTTGGGTTACGAACCCAACTTGTTGGCTTCCAAGAGCTTGTTCTTCCCATCTGAAAACCTGATGTTTGCTTATGGATTACACCTCTCTTCGGCTTCTTTGTTGACATAAGCGCTAGAGATTTCTTTATATCTTTAATCATCTCATCAGCAACGGGGACCCCACATTCTTTCATTGATCTCACCGTAGCTATGGAATCCTCTGAATCCTCAGTGTGCAAAGCTGTTTGACGAGCCTTTTCCACAACATTACTTCTAAGACTAACGAGATTGGGCGCTGCATTTTGTACGTGCTGCTGAATATAAAAAAGCCCTACTGACGGTTCGTTTGCAACGTTGCTTATCATCTCTCCCAAGCCTTCAGTTATCTCCATAAAGCCATCCGTGGTGGAGAATTCATGCATCTTTTCATAGCCAAAGGCAGTTCATCACTGTTTTTGTCAAAAAAAATTGAAGATTGAAAGTCAGAAAAGTTAAATGGTAAACCTGAAAATAATAAATCAATGCCGTTGATTCACTTTGTGGCTTCGTGCATCTTTACTAATCGATACACAAATTAAACAACGAAAGGCACTCGAGAGCCATCTTTACTAATCTATACTATTGTGGTTTAAAAATCAAATGCAGTTCAAGACATGTCGAACGAACTCAACTGTAAAACAACAACAAAGCTTATCCCACTGAGTGAAGTCGGCTTAATGAATCCTAGAACGTCATTGAGCTCGGTTTTGCGCCAAGTCAATGATAACTCAGCTGTAAAACAAGAACTTATATTTCAACTGCCTGCATTGATAAATTTATCCGCGACCCGATATTCTTCTGGAGCAGATTGGCACTCCAAAATAGTCATTCTCCACTCCACCCCATCAATTTTCTTACAGATTATTTTCGATCTTTCGCGTAGCCTCCTCTACGCAGATTTCGAATCAAATCACTTGCCTATTGTCTTCCAAATCATCACGCATACCGGAAATACGAAACCATTGACCCAAAAGACAAAAATTAAAGATTCAAATTCCAATCAATACCCATCACAGGAAACAACAAATTATCCAATACCCAATTCCCAGAATCCGGATTTTTCATAGCATTTCAAATATAAAAATATCCGATTTTTCTTATCCAAACAGAAAGCTGAAGAACTAACAAATACGAAAGATACATAAGAAAAAAAAAAAGGGTACCTTCAGTAATAGGTCACAGGAAACCCTAGAACTGGTGAAGTGGTGTGTTATTGCAGAAGAATAATCTGGTTTTGAATCGCCTGAAGCCTTGTTCGCAGCTGCGTATTCGTTCGGGAGACAGCAATCAGCAATTCTGTAAATCCGATGATGATATCTCCCCATCTGTCCATTCATAAGTCATAACTCAACCACCACTCAAAACAATCTACTCTTTTCTTTTTGTTTTATTTATTTTTCTGGATTTGGCAATCTCACGTGCTCTCCACGTGGGATTAACCGATATAGGCAAAACAAAAGGGAAAATTGCCAGAGGATCATAGATCTTTCAATCACATTTATTCATCGTATATCGTGCGGTTAGAAATTATTGTAAATTTTGTTTTTTAAAATTAAATATAAACAGTATCAGACAGAAACTGACTACATAATGTACGATGAACCGATGTGATTTGAGGATCTTCAGAATTCCAAATCTTCACAAAAATGATCCGGCCAAAATCCTTCTCGAAAAATTGGACTAATCCCCTGTGAAACACGCGTTGTTAGTGTTCATTTTGTTTTTTTTCTTTTCATACAAGTGATCTTCTTATTTCAATGAATTTTTTCTATTTTGACCAAGGTATTAAATATCGGTAATATCGGAAATATCGGTAGTCCAAAAAAACGGAAATATCGATGGAAATATCGGGATAATATCGATATCGATAAAAATTACATAGAAACCACGGAAATTGTAAGAAAAACTTGGAAATTTTTATTGAAACTTTGCAAGATGTTTATTTAGTCAATTATCTATTAGTTTATCACAAAAAATTGGAAGGAAATGCATTGCATGATGGATTTAACATTATCAAGTTGATTATATAGCGAGCTGAAAACCATATTAGTGTAAATGAAATGCACAGTATTCAATTTATAAAATTAAACACCTTGTCATACAAATTTTTATTTTTTAATCATTTTTTCTTGTTGTACATTTTTTATTTTTCGTTTTTTTATTTTTTCTTTCACCTGGTTTGTTTTCAGATGGTGCCATTATTATTGCTTTTTTCTCTTCTTTTTTGGCCAACATTTTCTTCTTGTTTTCAGATCTCACATGTCACCCCACTCGTTTTTTTCTTTTTCCAAGACCAACTGTGTCCTCCCCTCAACCTTTTGTTTCTTCTTCCAGATTTTTTCAGACAATTCCCCGTATCCTCCCCCCCCCCAACGCACCCCCTCGCCTCTCTTCCAAAAGCCCTTTTAGACCGCCTCGAGCAGAAATCTCCGCACCCCGCACCCCCCCACATCCGATCGCCATGTCAAGATACCCATCACGCAGGACTGGAGCCGTCGTCATCAGAAGAACGAAGGAAGGGCCCCAACGCCGCTCGCGCTCGCGGGAAGATCGAAACCCTCGGAAAGTTTTGTGTTTTTTCCCTTCCCCAATCCTCGACCTTCTCCCATTCCTCTCTTGGCAGTGCGACGACGGGACCTCGGTGCAGTTGCGAGCCTCGCGTATTATCGCGATATTTTGACGAAAAAAAAAAAATATCGTTCCCTTGCCAATAACGATTCAGAAATCGTCCTATTTGTTTGATGATTTTTGACTAATGGTTGCACTTTTGATCACATTTTTGATAAACTGCTCTTGTGATCAAATTGGACTTGAAAACTCCACATTGCACTTCATTAATAAAAAAAAAGGATAAGAAAATGCAGTGAGGCTTAACAATAGAACACAATGCCCGATTTCAATAGTTAAATAAAAAAACAACATTAACGCGCTAATTTCCATCATTTTATTCTCTAACTTAGAGTCAAAAAAACACACAACAACCAAATTAAGTTCAAGAAAACCTCCTTATTTTTTTTACCACACATGGCAAAAACACTCAATTGCGAAGGGGTTGCCACCAAGAGAAAAACAAAACAAAACAGTTTCCTAGCCATGAACCAGAATAGTTCGAACTGATAAAAAGAAAGTGCAAATTTAAGGGGCTTAATACTAAAATAAAAAAATTGAAGGGCCCAAATGTAACGAGATTCCACAGTTCAAGGGCGTTGGTAAAGGATTTCACAAAAGAAAAAACAAAAGGTCTGACTGAAAATGGGGGAGAGTTCAGATCGGAGAACTGTGGGAGAGAAAGGAGAAGAAACAGCAGCGACGAAGACGAAGACGACCCTTCCCGCCTACGCCCCTCCGCCGCAAACCCAAAAACCCAAAAACCAAAAACCGGTAAGTACGTCCGGCTCAGGAAGCCTAGCACCATCGAAATCGACCCTCTACGTCTCCAACCTCGACTACTCCCTCACCAATTCGGACCTCCACACCTCTCGTCTTTTTTGGCAAGATCGCCAGAGTCACCGTCCTCAAGAATCGCGAGACCCGCCAGAGCCGCGGCGTCGCCTTCGTTCAATTCGTGTCCCGCACCGATGCTTCCACGGCGGCGAGTGAGATGCACGGGAAGATACTTAACCGGAGAAGTTATCCGCCTCCATCGCCGCTGACAATGGCCGGGCCAACGAGTTCATTCGGAAGAGGGAGTACAAGGACAAGAGCCGATGCTATGAGTGCGGCGAGGAGGGGCACTTGTCGTACGAGTGCCCGAAGAACCAGCTGGGGCCCAGGGAGCGGCCGCCGCCGAAGCGGGTGAAGAGAGGTGGCGGTGGTAGCGGTAATGGCGGCAGGGCGGCACCTGTGGACGAGGAGGAGTATGATAGTGGTGGTGAGAAGTTTGAGGATGATAATTGGGCGTCGGTGGTGGATGATGGGGCTGATCTGAGGTTGCGGTTGGCGGCGGAGGAGGCGGAGGAGAAGAAGAGTAAAAAGGTTGCAAAGAAACCTGGTTACTTTAGTGATGAGAGTGACAACGATGATGAAGATTGAGTGATTTGGTGACGGGTTTTAGCTTGTTTTGGGGAGGGGGTTTTGTTTGGAATTGGAGGATTAGGATTTCAAATGGGGCATCCTTCAAGGTATATTCTTTTTGTTTTTCAATTTATATTTCGATAATTTGTTCAGTTTGTGCTGTTTTTTATTGAGAAAAGTAGTCGATTTGAAGCTGGTTTAGCTGAGCAACAGAGTAGTAATGTAGTTGAATTTGGAAGGTTTAAAGGCTGAAGATTGCAAAAGAGCTGGAGTTAAATGTAATTGCAGTTTTACATTATTGATGGGATTGATAGCGATAAAATTTCGTGCAAAACAGAGTAGTAATTTGTTTGCATCGATATTATGTTGGTTTGTCTTTTTGAGTGCAAGAGTTGTTTGATTGAATCAATGGTTAATAGCTGAAGCAACATTTGAGTTAGTAATGTGTAATGCAGTTTTACATTATGGGGATTTGATCTAAATTTCGTTGGGGTTTGCTTTGGAGGGTTCAGTTTGTGTGTTTTTTGAGAAAAGTAGTCGAGAAGCTTATGATTAGTAATGTAGTTGCATTACATTATGTCAGTTTGTCCTGTTTTTGAGTTGAGAAAGTAGCGATTTGAAGCTGGTTTAGCTGAGCAACAGAGTAGTAATGTAGTTGCAGTTTTACATTATGTGGGAATTGATCATAAATTTCGTTGCAGTTTTTTGCTTTGATTGTTTTGTTTTATTTAATTTCGATAATTGTCAGTTTGTGCTGTTTTTGATTGAGAAAAGTCGATTTGAAGCTTGGTTTAGCTGAGCAAAAGAGTGTAATAGTTTGCGTTTTACATTTGTGGGTTTGATATATTTTTGCAGTTTTTCTTTGATTGTTTTGTTTTTCAATTTATATTTCGATAATTTGTTCAGTTTGTGCTGTTTTTGATTGAGAAAAGTAGTCGATTTGAAGCTGGTTTAGCTGAGCAACAGAGTAGTAATGTAGTTGCAGTTTTACATTATGTGGGATTTGATCATAAATTTCGTTGCAGTTTGCTTTGATTGTTTTGTTTTTCAATATATATTTTGATAATTTGTTCAGTTTGTGCTGTTTTTGATTGAGAAAAGTAGTCGATTTGAAGCTCTGGTTTGCTGAGCAACAGAGTAGTGTAGTGTATAATTGGGTTGATATAAATTTCGTTGCGTTTGCTTTGATTGTTTTGTTTTTCAATTTTATTTTCGATAATTTGTTCAGTTTGTGCTGTTTCTTATTGAGAAAAGTAGTCGATTTGAAGCTGGTTTAGCTGAGCAACAGAGTAGTAATGTAGTTGCAGTTTTACATTATGTGGGATTTGATCATAAATTTCGTTGCAGTTTGCTTTGATTGTTTTGTTTTTCAATTTATATTTCGATAATTTGTTCAGTTTGTGCTGTTTCTGATTGAGAAAGTAGTCCATTTGAAGCATGGTTTGGCTTATCGAAAGTAGTAACTGTAGTTTGCTTATTTACATATATGTGGGATTTGATATCATTATTATGTTGACAGTTTGCTTTGTGATTGTTTATTGTTTTTCAATTTATATTTCGATAATTGTTCGTTTGTGCTGTTTTGATTGAGAAAGTTAGGCTGGTTTAAGCTGAGGCAGATGTGTAGTGCAGTTTTACATTATGTGGGATTTGATCATAAATTTCGTTGCAGTTTGCTTTGATTGTTTTGTTTTTCAATTTATATTTCGATAATTTGTTCAGTTTTGCTTTTCTTATGAGAAAAGTAGTCGATTTGAGCTGGTTTAGGAGCAACAGTAATAGTTGCATTTAGTTGGTTAGGATTTGATCATACATTTTCGTTGGCAGTTGCTTGATTGTTTTGTTTTTAATTTTTTTCGATATTGGTTCAGTTTGTGTTTCTTATTGAGAAAGTAGTCGATTGAGCTGGTTAGTGAGCAAAGAAGTAGTGTAGTGCAGTTTTATATTGTGTGGATTTGTCATAAATTTCGTTTGCAGTTTGCTTTGAGTGTTTTGTTTTTCAATTGATATTTCGATATTTGTTGTTGTGCTGTTTCTTTGACTTAGAAAAGAGTGAAGCTGGTGGTTAGCTGGCAACAGATAGTAATGTTGTGAGTTTTACATTATGTGGGATTTGATCATAAATTTCGTTGCAGTTTGCTTTGATTGTTTTGTTTTTCAATTTATATTTCGATAATTTGTTCAGTTTGTGCTGTTTTTGATTGAGAAAAGTAGATCGATTAGCTGGTTTAGTTTGAGCAACAGAGTAGTATGTAGTCAGAGAGTTTTTAACATTATGTGATCTTGATCATAAATTTCGTTGCGGTTTGCTTCGATTTGTGTTGATTTGAAAAGCATGATCAAATAACTTTGCTTGTTGCATACAAATACTTAAAGCTATGCGTTGCAGTGTTGAATATGAGGTGGTGGCATGTGATTTTCACATGAGTGGGTGATCGTACTTGTCGAGCATTCCATTGCGTTTCCACATTTCCCCGGTGCGTGGTTTCGTTCATATATAGTATTTCCTTTAGGTAAAAGAAGAAAACCGTGACATTGTTCAAGTTGTTGTGGACTTTTTTTATTTCAGAGATGTATTTTAAGCCCTTTTCCCGCCCCCTCATCTGTTAGCGGGTCATAGCTGCGTCACAAACACTAAGAAAAGTTATTTGGCTTTGGATTTGGGGTAGCAGCTCTTAACACCAAGTTTCTTATACGGGGGTCTCAACCTACGTACGTTCATCCTGGGGCAGGAAAAGGCGGATCATGTAAAATTTTACATAGTATTGACCGCCACGTGCACCATTGCTACCTCTACACCCCCAACAACCACACGCTAGAATTGGCACCACCATTATACCCTCACCATTGCTGCTGGCGACACCATCATTGCTGTTGGCGCCGCTATTGTCGCCACCATGAAAATTTATGAGTGCTTATGCTGTATTTCTTCAACGGTAATACAATCAAAATCGAGTGGTGGACATAAAGTTACCACGATGATTTATGAGTGAAGTTGGGCCGAAGTCTAGGATCAATGCTCCAATTTTCTCTTCTATCAAATTTCTTTTGGTACAAGCTAGACCTGTAAACGGATCGGGGTTATTGGGTTTGGGTCGGGTTCAATCCGACCCGTTAACAATTATTATTATTATTTTTTGTTTGCATAGAGTTTATTTTTTGTTGTTAAAACTTAACTGAAATTACTAAAACATCTTCAACTAACGGATGCTAATGGCGGGTCGATCCAAAGTGATCCGTTATTTAATGGGTTCATCTGTTAGCGATCTGACCGGTTAAGCATCCACCCAAATACTAATATTAACGGGTCGGTCGGATTCCAAATGCCAGGTCTAGTACAAGCTATAGGACAAATAAAAGGAGCAAGTTCGGGTTGTATTTTCTGTTCTCTGCATATCTGATCACAAATTTGGTCGGTAGCGAAATCAAATGACTTCTCGTTCACCTTAGGGGAGTGGCAAGATTTATAGGGTTTCTATAGAGTCAATATAATTTTGAGAATTCCAACAACTTTCTTTCTACAAGCGATACTGGAGCAAGGGGGAATCGAACCTAGGACTTCGGGTGCAGAGTAAATACTCATAATCGCTTGAGCTATAAACCCCTAGCGAGAATTCCAATAACTTTGAAGATTACATTACCTCTCTAATGTAAACATTGCATAAACTACAAGCAAGTTTCAAGCGCAAAAACAAAACTGAATCTTGAATGGTCGATTCCGCATAGCCTATGCATTTTCCTTTTCTTTCGCAGTCTGCGTGGGGATAAAAATGTAATGCCGGTTAAACGATAGACCGATGATTTTCGTATATTTAGGAATGGGGCAAGAAAATAGACTCACTAGCATTTCATGGTCCCCCACGATCTCTTCTATCAACTCCGCCAGTGGTTTATCGGCACTGTTGGGAACAAGAGCTGCAAAAATGGCTGGTTCGAGTCCTGTATATCAAAAGAGTAACGCCGTTACGCCAGTATGGAAATGGACAAGACAAATGTGTTCAAACAGAGAACGGTAATTCAGTAGTTAAATACATACTGAGAGCAGTAAATAAGGGGGTACAAGAACGAGTATATGTTGCTTAAATACGTACAAATGTCTTCCACTAGATAACTAGTTATTTGATGGATAGAGAAACTTAAAGGTACCTGATTCCGGGAAAGAATCAATGAACACCATCATCTCCTCCCCACTGAGACCAGAGAAGAAACAGATTCGTGGCAGCGGCTTAGCAATCTGCAGAGCAGAACATGTCAACTGCAGGAGACCAGCTACAAGTTTCCTACTTAACAGGTCGGGTAAGATGCTAATAATCCTTCAACTTGTAAGCTCCCTAAGCCCGTTGTTTCATCTAAAAGATAATTACTGTGTAGCCTCCGCTCCACTGCGCTTAAATGCTAAACCTCATCTTTTGTTGACTAATTTTGCTTGAAATTACTAAACATTAAAACGATTTGTAAACTGATGCTTTAAGAACTTTGTGAACAGAAAGAAACTATGGAAAAGATGGAAAATTTTAATTAGTTTAAGTACTATGATGATGAAAACATACTTTAGATTATAACGACACAAGCATGGAGGCCAAATTAGAGTATCTTCAGATGTCCAGATGTCTTAAATTTTGCATTTCCAAAGTTCATCAAGCAGACATGAATTTTAGATGACCAGTATTCAACGTACGGTTTTCAGCAAGAACTAGTAATTAGCAAGGTGGAGATTTTCAACCTTTAATGCTTCCAAATTTGGCTGGCTTGTATTCATCGCGTCCCAAAGTGAACGAGTAATCATGTCTTCAGTACAATAAATAACCTACATTAACAAGATTAAACAGAAAAATGGCAAACATGTGAAGAAATCAGACATATTTCCCTTATCACTATGGTATCAGTACGATTGATTGGCTGCTGTTTTCGATTTTGTAGGTCAACCTTGAAAAGGTCAATGTCCATAGGGAACAAACATAGTAACAAATATACAAGATTACCTTGAGGAATTCTCCATCTAGCTGTTTCAAAAACTGTTGGATCTGCACGAGAAGACACATAAGATAACACGATGAGCGCGAGCCATGATTCATAGGTGTAGCACTAGCCACGTATAAGTACAACCAGCAACGCTCTGAGATGAACGTTACTTGCAGCCGTTTCAGAAAACTGGTTTTAAAACTTTCAAAGCAGCAATTGTTTCCTACTTGTAAGTTGTAGCAATGTCAAAATGTTCTCTAGCTTTCTAAGATTCACTAACTTCAGTCCATAATCTATTGATCTTTGTAGAAATTTCTTACTACTATATAGATCTTGAAGAGATCCTGCATTGCCCCATACGATCGATCATATGGCAAGCATGAACGTTTAGATGGAGAATTGAAAATGCATTGGTCAAGACCAATGTTTTAAAAGGCTCGCCTCAGGGCACGCCTAGGCACCCTTTGAGGCAGGTTGGGCTTGAGGGTTGCCGCCTCTGTTTTAAGGGAGTGGGTGTAAGGCTTCACCGGTGCCACCTAGGTGGCGGAAGGCGCGCCTCAAGGCTTTTTTTTTTTTTTTTCAACTCCCAAACCCAAATTTTGGGTAGGGTTTTAACTGCCTCATACCTCTTCCTTGCACTATCGTCTCTTTGCCTTTTTTCTGATTTTTATTTTTTATATAATGGATGTGTGTGCTGTCTGCGTGCATTGTTATAGGTGTGCTCATTGTGCTTTTCATCCTCTATTATATATATATATATATATATATGTCTATATATGTGTGTATATATATTTATAATATATGTGTGTGCTCAGGGTGATTATTGGTTAATAATCCTTTTTTAAAAAAAATAATATATGTGTACGCTTAATGTATATACTAAAAAAATTAGGTCCCATGAGGCTTCGCCTCACGCCTCACGCCTCACGCCTAGACCAGGCTATCCCTCAGACGCCTCGCCCACGCCTCACTCTTTAATACACTGGTCAAGACAAATAAACTCTTCAGAAACGAGAAAAGTAAATAGATGGAAAACAAGTTACCTTCTCAGCTTCCTCCGCTTCAAACCCCAACAATAACAAAGCCTGGAAACGAGAAAGTTTGAATCTTCAACCTCATTAGTAATTGTAATATCATTTATCGGCATACATCTATAAATAGATCAATGATTTACATTTGCAATTTCCTGCAAAATCAGATTCTAAAGGAGGAATTTCGAAAGCTTGTTTCTTCCTTCTAACTAACAAGTTCAGAAAGTCATATACATTTCAATCAAAAAACGACTGTCATTAGGTCATTCGTGTCTTTAAATTGAAGGGTATGCTTGCTAACATATAGAGACATTGGCAGACTGTTATGATTGAAAAAAACTGGAGCGAAACTAACCGCAACTTACAGGTGGACCAAATATCATTTCATCTGCATTTAGAGGAACGAATTTTGAATCTTCAATCAACTCACCAGGAACTCCTGTAAAGTTGTTAAAACAAATTAAACAAAAACAGTAATAATCTATGCCATATACTACAATGTCTAGTGGTATTCATCTCTACTTGTAAGCGGGAGTTCTCAGGTTCGACTCTCGTGAATCCAGTGTCTCTTGTTCAAGCTCGGTTTAGACTATGTTGGTGATTTTTGAGTGATAAGCTTTCAGGTAAATCCCAAAGCAAATCCATTTCTTTTTCGCTATCGAAAAGATTTACAATTTAGCTTCAAAAACTGAATTCAACAGAGTTCCAACACCAAAAATGTTGAGGAGCAGCAGAAATTGAGTACCTTCTCTTTCAGAAGAGGCTCTTGGGGTGCTCTTGAGGAGCTTCAACTGATGGCTTCTGTAATTTTCCGACGACGAAGAAGAAGAAAGGGTTGAAATCTTTGGAGGCAGCAGAGGATTTGAGGAAATTGAAGGGATAAAAAGCAGAGGAGAATTGTTGAGTGAAGTTTTCAGAGAGAAAGCAAGAGCAGAAGCTGCCATCGAAGAAGATTTTGCAGTCTTTTACTACACACAGCTCCACAATTTACGAACACGTTTCCATGGGAGTTGATAAACTTGGTTCCAAATTTAAACGGGTTTCGGGTTTATCTTGCCCCAAACTTTGAGATAATTGGGCTTTAAACCCGTTACTCCCAATTCTTTTGTATTTTATTCTCCAGTGACGTGGCGATATTGAGGGAGGGGAATCTCATACAAGATGGAGATATTCTTAGATGAAACAGAAGTATTTTTCTTCGTAAGTATGTCTCTCATCACGTGATGGTATATTGTCGATATAGAGATACAGAAATCTAAAACAAGGCATTCGGAGAGTACATTCGTGTGCAGGATAAATGCTCGAGTGTATAATAAATTCTCGTAACGGGAATATCCCTCGGCTTCTATGGTAAAATCTCCCTTCGTATGCAAAGGTGAATGCTCTCTGTTGGATGGTCATAACACGTTCAACTACCTAAATTTACAAGCAAAACGAAGGCGAAATCATATGTTATCGACAAGCAGTCTTTCTTATTCATCTTAAAAGTAGTGTAAGCAAACATAGCATATTGTATGGTAAGATCTTCCCTCGTGTGCAAAGGTGAATGCTTTCATCCGCTTCAGCTCCATAACTTCGCTGTTGCAGGATGTATTACGTTCAACTACGAACTATCGAAATTTTCGAACAGAACGGCTTAAAATCATACAAGACGAATATTCATATATTTGCCCACAAGCAGTCTTTCTTATGCATCTTAAAATACTGCAAGCAAACATAGCGCATTGTCTAGAAACGCTATTAGCTTCACCAGCCTAGGCAAAATATTTACAAGCGCATTGAGAAACCACGGAAATCCATATCCTATGCTCATCACTCCGTTCATGTTCCGGTGTAAAATCACATCTGAGCAACCCGTTTTTCTGGTTCACCTGCGGATTCAGCAATTGATCCCCGAGTCCACCTCCTCAACATCTCCAGTGCAGCCTTGGGCTGGTCCATTGGAACCATGTGGCCGGCATCATGGACCTGTTTGTTGCAAGACAACGTACCATATAACTAGTTCAGCAATCGGGATCGGTAATTAATCAATGTCTATGGATAGAGAGAAATGCAGATATGTGAGAGAGATAGAAACCCAGACAAGTGAGGAAGGAGAGAGAAAGAGACCTTAAGGAAGCTAAGAGGCCCATGGTTCTTGAGAACTCCTGCTTCTGAATTATCGACAACAAAAGGAACTTCCGGAGAAGTTACAAACTGTTTCTGACCAGACCATTCCATGGCATGGACCCATCTTGAGTTACCTATCATATACAAATTTATATGCGACGGGTAAGAATTGCACATCACAAATTAAAAGAGAATAATATTAATGATAGGTGGTTTGGCATGTCGTATCAAATAAAACCTAAAGACCTACCAAGCCAGTTGCAGATTAGATCATATTCTCCTGCATACACAAGCAGTTGGATTCCGTCCTCGAGAAGAGTGGGAATGCCCACTTCGAGGTTCCTCATCCAGTCCACCAGCATGGCTTGATACACTGTAGAGCTGCATGAAACAAATTCAATGTCCCCAACTCCAAGTGACTCTCTAACAGGCTTCTGGTTCAGGAATTTCTCCATGTTTGAGAAGTCATAGCAAAGGCTCCCCTCACACTTCTTTCTGATGTCGTAGTACTGCATATCATAATAAATTAATAAAAACTCCCATCAAACTTCAGATCAATAGTGGAATACCAAATGACAACGTAATGATTAAAGAGCAATCATTCTGTCAATGATGAGTAACTGATCTTCTTACATTTATATTTCCGGCCTTCGCCATGATGCTACTGAATATGGTATTGCAAACAAAATATGAAGCCATGCAAGAGACTGTACCATCAGTGCCTGAAAAAACCAGAAGTATATGTTTATTTACAAAAGCACCAACTAATTGGCTAATATGTAAAGACACGCTTGCGTAATAAAAAATAAAAAATAAATATTCATGGCTTAGAAAAGAGGAAAAAATACATAAAGATGGAACACAATAAAAGAGAAAGGGGCCACCCTACCATGTTGACATGAAAACGAACAAAAGAACTGCAAATTTTAAATAACAAATTTGCATGTCTTAGGGTCTAAACTTAATGAGAAGCTAATAGAAATTTGAAAAAAGGGAACCAGAAAATGAGGAAGGGGCCACTAAAATATGTCACTTACCACAGAGCTTTATAGCCATTTCACAAACTGGAAGCACTTTGTTAATACGATTATATTCAGTTGCTGTGATTAAGCCATTGTCCAACGCAAAATCTGTGTAAGCCTTATACTGGACTGCAGGATCAGTAAGCCCATTGCCAATGGCAAATCCCTGTTCAACAAGTTTTTCTAAATTTATTAAACCACGAAATGACCCGTTACAATTCTCAAAACAAGGTAATACTTGAGATATGTACCTTCAAATTTATATGGATTCCTTCTTTGGCTTTGTTTCCTTTGTGGACTCGAGCAGCAAAAGCTGGAATATAGTGTCCAGCATATGATTCTCCAGTTATGAAAAAGTCATTCTTTGCCAACTCAGGATGCTCGGCAAAGAAGGCCTAACATCATAGAAAGGCACAATAAGTAATGCTACTATTCATTACAATAATAAACCTTAAACATCTAAGATGTCTGCTTTCTTCCAAAATTCTCAAGATAAAAATCATGCAGTTCTTCTCCTAAAAAAAACACTGCAGTTAAGTTTGACATTGAAATTAAAATATAGATATATACACACGTATTACTTCCATTACACTTAAACATTACTGCTTTAGAAATGAAGGATAAATGACACACCTGTAAGAAGTCATAAAGGTCATTACTAACACCATCTTCAGAGTGACGAATGTCACGTTTGTCACTACTATAACTGAAGCCAGTCCCAATAGGCTGGTCAACATACAGAAGATTAGATGCCTGCAAAACAGGAAAATGTAAAAAAAAAAAAAGGTTACCTCTCAGGAAAATGAAGAAAGAACTGACATGCCTTACTGAAGTAGGATGCCTCTAAATCAGTGACGGCCTCAGATATCATGCAGGGACAAGTAAATATAAGTGAAGACGTGTTTACGAGTCACTTTCATGTTTACGAGTCACTTTCATACCGGTGCAACATGATTTAGAAAAAGGTTCCACGAACGATAATTAAGAAGAAAATGTTACCACATAAGGGGCAAGGACAACAAATACAACTGCCAATTTTCAATATACGTACAATGTCAGCAAAAACGAACTAGTCAATTGACAGAGAGTCTCATATAAATACCTTATCCCAGCCATACTCGTTCCACACAAGTGACAAGTTATTTGCGATAGTGAACGGACCATTTTCGTAAAATACAGCCAATTCACTGCTGCACCCCGGACCGCCAGTCAACCAAATAACAACAGGGTCCTTCTTGTTGGTGCGAGACTCGAAGAAGAGATAGAACATCCTACATTACCACACAAATTGAATAGTAAGAACACCAAGCAAGCAGCTACATTCACCATACAATCCAAAAAAATCCAAAATTCCGCATAATTTTACAAATTTGAGGTCCTATTTTCCTAAATTAAGGCCCAGCTAAGCATAAAATTTCCGCATAAAACCCTAAAATTCAAATGAAATCAAAATAAAACCCCTAAAATACACCAAATTCACGATGCAGCACGACTTAACAGTTCAAAGTATCATAAAAACAACGAAATTCAAAGAGATTAAGAAGCTCACTTGGCGGCATGAGAATGCTCGATGTTGAAGTACCCGGCATGGTGGCCGAGGTCCTCGACGGAGACTCCGGATTCGATGAGGTTGGGGAGCCTGAATGGCTTCTCGACGAGCCTCGGCGCGTCGGCGACGGCGGCGGTGGAGGAATCGGGGCCGTCGATGATGTTGATGTCTTCCTCGGGGAAGAGATTGAAGGCTCTGATCAGCTGCTTTGCGTGCACGGATGGGAAGCTGGACCTGGCGAGCCCGAGAGGGTTCGTGAGCTTAGCGGCGGCGATCGGAGAGAAAAGTAGGAGGAGGAGGTGAAGAGAGAGAAAGGTGAGGAGGTGAGGGAGGAGAGAATTCTTGCGTTCCATGGCTTGTGCGTCTGCGTTTTGGGTAGAGAGAGAGAGGAATGAGAGAGGAGAGAGATTTGCCGGGGAGAAGAAGGCGCCAGGCGATAACTAACAGTCGCGTGGTACGACGATTTATAAATGGACTGTTAAGTTGTTGGGGCGAGTGGGTTCGTGGAAGTTTCCGGTGCGCGCAGGTACAGAAATTGACCGGATCTAGGACGTTGGATTTTGGCTCTGTGGGGTCCTTTTATTGGAGCTGTGGTGTAGTTCTGTGGAACGGGGTGCAGGGGATTTGGACCCGGTTGCTTTCGCTTGCAACAAAGGAGTTGCTTTAAATTAAAATTAAAAACGGAAAGAAGGAAGGTGGGGTTGTAATTACGTGTAAACCGGCATACTGTTAAAGCAGTGCACGCGACAGAGGTGGTTTTTGAGGTTGAGGATGATTCCATTCCATGACCTTCATTCACATCATGTGGAGGAGAAGTTACCGACCTCTTGCAGGAGGGATTCTTGGATAGGGCCGTCGTATAGGACAGAGCTGTCACACGAAATTACGTTTTCATCAATTGTGTTCAGGAACGATTGTTATTAGTTAATCCATATGCGATAGTTTATAACGGTATAAGTCTTGAAATATCCTACATCGATTGTATTTATGTAAAAAAAAGTATTTTATCCAACATGGTAATGCTACACAAAGAAAGAGGTGCTCCATCCTATTTGACATTGGTTCAGAGTCAGGAAGCAAGCGCGTACTGTACTGTCATGTGATGGGTTGGTCCTCTTGGCCCCGCGTGATGATGGTGAGTCCTTTGGCCCCGCATGTAGGGTGAGTCTCCTTAGCTCCACGTGGTTGTCGATGCGAGGATCTACCACGTGTGACCCACTAATTGGGTCTCACTAAGGGATGTTGAAATATCTCACATCGACCGTATCTCTATGAAAATAAGAGTTTAGATATCCCAACCCTCCTCTAACTAATAATGAGATATTTTTGATAAAACTCCACACTTCACGAATTGTGCATGTGATAATAACTAAGTTGAAGACATATCAGTGCTATTGAAGTGGGCATTTGGGCCGTCTCTTTGATAATTTGACAATAAGGCCTAATATGAGAATGATGGTAGCATCAGTCGTATGGGCGTTCAGTATTTTGAGCCGCGGACGGAGATTGGATGGGCTGGTTTTGCAAATGACTTGGGGATGAAGATTAGGTATGGAGAGAAAGTGAAGTAGGAAGGACGGTGCTGACTTTTTGGATCAAGGTGGTCTACTCAGCAAACGCACGAGCATAACGTCAGTTAGCAGAACAACAAGCAACACCAATTCAGCAAGCATTCCAAATCTAGTCGTTGACAGAAAGCTATATATAGCCTTAGCTTTACAACAGAGTCTGACACCAGCTCGAGGTAAGGCATGACGATTACGCATGCCTCGATGATTGTCAGCCGTTGATGCATATGAACTCGGCTGATGGTTCATTGCAGCATCATAACCATTACTCACAAGATGTTAAATAAATTCATTCAACTAGTATTAGACCTCTTGGTGTTGAAAGTCGAGAATAAGACAAACAAAACTATGTAACAAATTGTATTAATGTACGGACTTGTTTGAAAGTGCTTTTAAAATAACTGAAAACGCTTTTGGTGAAAGTATTTTGGGTTCCAAAAGCACGCTCATCAAAAGCGCTTTCAGTTATTTTAAAAGTATTTCCGAACCCTACAACATTTGTCTCATTTATACAAAGCAAGCTGTGTCTATAGCCCTTAATAAATAAAACAATAAATTTCTAAACTTTAAGATGCCTCTACAAAATACAAAAAGAAGTTTTCCTCATAAGAAGGGAACGAACTGCGGGAACTACATGAAAATTTTACGATCTCACTTGGGCAAGCCGCGCCCTCAGTGCTTCCAACTCTTCCTCATTGTCTGCACCCTCTGCTATAGCTTCTTCCTGCATGGATTAATGACGAGTTATTTCATTGCATCTTGCAAGGAACAATGAAAAGATATAAAAATGGAGTCTACGACACATACTTGTTGTGACGCACTGGCTCTCTGGGCTGCTACCTTTGTCCTCTCCTTCCGCACAGCTTCTGGGAGCTGTGCAGCCGTCTCACCAGCTATTTCACTGAGGACCCTTTCAACTTCTTCTTCGGTTTCCTCTTCTATATCTTCTGAATCTAATGCCGTATCAAGAGCATCATCTACGAATTCCTCAATCACGCCAGCCTGTATGACCAATAGAGTGTTACATCTAAAGATTTCAAGGATATAGAAGCTATATAGACAGTATAGTGGCACATAAACACATTCCACATTGCGAAAACTCTGACGCTTCAGATATGCTTCAGTCTCGACTCTCCTCATCATTAAAAATATACCATTCCCAAAACAGGGAGCCAGTCAAAAGGTGCATTCGGATATAATTCGTTCTCTCCATGTTATAGAAAAGAATTTGTAACATTCAGCACTCTCATTGTTCATTGATTAAATAAGCGAAAATAAAAAATATTAACACCCAACTTTCTACATAAAATGAGTTCAGATATTTCAATATAACAGCTGTAAATTATGTGAAATGATACCCCATATAACATTTTAAGCCAAATAAACAAACATGAAATAAACAAGTACAAAATTAAAGCAAGAGATTGAACCCCTGCTTAAACAAGGGTGCGACACTTGAGACTATAGGGCAATCAGGGGGGAGTATTAACTTCTAACAGCCACCCACAAAGCACCTTAAGGTATCTTACCTTGGTGATTTCTTTGGTAAATTCATGCATCGTGACGGCCATTTCTGGAGCTTTCATGAGGTTATTGACAAGTTTCATAACCTCTGTACTTTTTGACAGATGACCCACGGTACGGGCAAGTGCTGCAAGCACATACAACATATCAATACCATAAAGCTGACTTAAACAATGGAGAAGGGGGTAGGGTGGATTGAAGGGTAACATGCTAGGCACAAATTCAAGACAACATAAGCATAGGGGAACTAAAATAATAATTTTATGTGTGTGAAGCAATACCAACACTTTCTCCAAGGTGCATAGATATCGAATTCAGTTGTGCCTTATTCTCATGAAGCCGATTCACAACTTTCCTCGACATCACAATTTCCTTTGCAAGTGCCTGAACACAAATTCACTAGTCGATCAACACATAGAACATACATGACGTGATGAACAAAACAACAAGAAGCAAACACAAGTAGCAGACATTCAACGTAAAGACCACATCGCAATCATCCTACACGGAAAATCCCAGCGAATCTAAAAACACCTGCATTCGGGTTTATACTTAAGAACTTCATTACAAATGGCCCAAAACCGCAACGTAGCTGAAACAGATTCCTACCAATACAAACTCCGAGAACAAAAACCATCTTGAAATTAGTGACACTGAGTTCAAAATCCACAAACCCCTCCGAAACAGAATGACTTTCGATTCATTGAACCTTTATAAGCTAATAAAAGGCAAAGCTTTTTCCCCTTCCAGTTTTCGACAAGAACACTTTTGTGCAACCAGTGTTTCTAAATTGCAAGTAAAATTATTGACGATCGAGTGATCAGCAGAAAAGCTAAAATTTGGAGTACCTTGGCTGTGGCCATGTCATTTCTCTTGGCAGCCTCTCTGATAGTTTTATGTACAGCCTTCTCTTCTTTCTGTATATCTATGAAACAAAAACCCCATCTTTCTTTTAGACTAAAATTAGTCAACAGTTACACACAAACCCAATCTCAGCCCAAAAATTCAAATAATTGATAAGAATTAAGAACAAAATAAAAGAAATCTGCACCAAATAAATTGAACCCAAAACGCAAAATTACATGTAATTTGAAAACGAGAACAAAAATAATGAAAGGAGGAAGCTTTTGCCTCTGATTTGGCGCTCCATGTTGCGGCACTCATGGCGGAGGCGCCGCTGCCATTCTCTGAGTTGCTCCGACGGGTTAGGTTTCGGCTTCAACAAGCTCTTGACTTTGTTCATTTTTTTTCCCGTTCCTTTTTCTCGCTGATTCGAGTTCTATCTCTCTCTGGTTTTTCCAAGATCCAATCGGATTATCCGATGGTATGGTGTGTATCTCTGTTTCGTTTTTCCCTCCACTGAGACTTTTCTTTTCCGCGTTTACTTTCTTCTTCCAAGCGGCAGTCAGCAACGACCAGCCGACGGTCCTTCCTTCCCCGCGTTTTCACCTTTTTTTTTTTTTATGTTAATTTTTTTTACCAAAAAGGATCTATTCGAATTCGAAGTGTTCTATTTCAAGATTCTAAAAAACACTAGGTGCTAGTCGAGCAGCTAGGCGGAGTTTAGGCTGGCGCCTAGGTGGTTAGGCGGATTTAGGTAAATTTCTTGTATATCTTATAAATAAGTGCATATTGACACTTACAAAAAATTATACTTGTATGAAATTTATGAATAAGATAATAAAAAATGATAAAATGCAAAACGAGTATTCAACAAGTCCAAAATTTAAAAACACAATAAGCATATAAGTCATATAACCATAGTGAGGAGTATTGTAGGATGACACATGTACAACAAGTTCACAATTTTAAACCACTTAGACATAGATAGGATTTTTTATTTTATTTTTTAATTTCATTAAAAAAAAACCGCATAGCACAACCTAGCCCCGCCTAGCCCGCCTAGGCGACCACCTAGAGCCCATCCGATTTTTCCAACCGATTTGCAAGAAAACATCTCAGCTCACCACCACCTAGACCTTTTTTTAGAACATTGTTTTAGTTAAATGCGAAAATTGTGAATTCGGAAGTCAGGAATACAAGAGACAGCAGGAGAAGTAACAAATCGAGAAACTTAAAACGAGAGAGGTAAGAGCAATTCCACCCATGGAGCCCTTCCCCCTGGCAATCCAATATTCAATCCACCCTATTAAACAGTAACTGCCTTAAATGAATAGTAACTACCATTAATGAACAGTAATTGCCATTTACATCTCCACCCTTGGAACCCTCCCCCTGGCAATAAGCAATTAAAATAATAATTTTTGTTTGTTTGTTTAAATAATAAAAAACCCTATCTCTCTCTCTCTCTCTCTGACACAAAAAACATAAAATATTGCAAAGCCCTCGGGCCACAGGCCCGTCGACTCCCCACCCCCCCTTCGCTCGGGCTCCCACCCTCACTCGGGCCCTTCCCCGCTGGAGCTGCTCCCACCGGCCCTCAGGCCCTTTCTCCTCCCCTGTCGCCCGAGCAACCAGCATCCGCTGGAGTTGCTCTAAGGAATCGAGAAACTTAAAAAATGAGAAGTAAGGAAAAGAAATCGGACAATTAATTTGGTTATTGATTTTAGGAATTCATTTTCCGGATGAGAAGAAACTTCACATTTTTCCGATTAAATGCGTTTACTAAACACATAAAAAAGTTAGGAATTGAAACGATTCAAAAAATAAATACACAAAACTCATATTTTAGCAACAAATAGATAAGACTTTACCACTCCAAATCAATATAAAATGGGTGGTGTTATTCACACACTTCTCTTTTACCTTCCACACACCTCTTAATTTTTGACCGTTGAATTGAAAGAATTGAAAAAAATTAAAAGACAGAAATTAACAAAAGACATTTAAGAGATAAAAAGAGGTGTATAACTAAATACGTGTATAAATAAATAACACCACCCTATAATTTTGATTACAAAATGGAATGTGAGACTCCTACTTTTCGTTTCAAATAAGTAAACACAGAATAAATACTTTCAGTTGCATAAAAGAAAAGAGTAAATACTCACCAAACATTTTCAATGATTTAGATCTAACGACTACAAAAGCAACATTATCGATTTGGAGGGGCGAGAATCCTACTCCATCTTTTAATCATTCACCAAAATTGTATCTTCAGTTGATTAACTGGTATTCCCAAAAGAAATTACTGCATTAGTCTTTCTTGCAACAGGAAGAAACAGAAGATCCTCACGTCATAATCCAGAATTAGAACTTAAGTGTAATGCATTAGTCTTTTTTTTTTTCACCACAATTTAAAGTGGTAAATGTTGAACAATATCTAGATTTTACAATCCAAAGAATTAAGAAACCGGAAAAGGATATTGCTTCGGTTCATCGCAACGCTTTCCGGAATCCAACCTTGTGTGATTGATCAGCTACAAGAAATTAGATTGTATTAGGGTTTAATGACCTTCTCCAACTTCTATCTGTCTCCACATCGTCTAATCGAAGAGACCTTCGTCGTGCCAAATATCAACTAAAAAGTCTACCATCTCCTGCACAGTTCACCAGTAACTTAAATTCACAGCGCTAAGAAAAAGTCGTAACAAAATATCATAAATCCAGATTCTACATGTGAAACACGTAGAACAATCTTTTTGGAAAAAGAAAATGAAAAACTTACAGTTAAGGGGATTGGCTCAGGAAAAGATTCATTCGTCGACAGCAGATCTTCATATGATGTTGACCAGCTGCAAAATAAATTGTTTGCATCATCTTCCGGAGCCCAGAAATTCTTTCAGTGGCTAGAATTCAATAGAGAATAATCGAAGAAAGCCAACGATATGGTATCATCAACCATCAACCCCATTTTAAAGTTGCAAGAGCTTCTTCGGTTTATGTCAGTGTTTAAATTTGAAGGAAGAGATAGTATTCGAAACCACACACATATAAAATGCCAGAACAGAAAAGGTGCACACTTTTTTTTTCATAAACCCGCCAACTGAAGTTCAGGAATGGGGACAGAGGTTTCTAATTAACTAACATTAAAAATAAAAGTCGAATTTGCTAAAATGTAAGTACAAGTCATGATGTTTCTTAGGTGTGCTAAAAGATTAGATCTTATAAAAATTCTGCTGTCCAACTTTTTTCTCTACTTTACAAGAAGTTTTGTGAAGAGAAAATACCTTATGATTGGATCCTTTTCCGCTCTTTGCACCCGTTGATTCCCAACCCACTTTTTTCTCCTCTCATGCCAAGCAATTGCAGCTACGAGACAAAAAGCGCGATTATCTCCAAGGAACAAATGATTAATACCAACTAAAACAAATAAAAAATTGTTGTTTTCGATTGCTGAGATATGGTAATGACTGGGCAGAAGGAATAGTTTCTTACTACACTTTTCCCCAGCCCCAAAGAAAGGAAATGATACAGAAGGAAACCAGAAAAGAACCATAAAAAGCTCTTGCATAGGCGGAGATCCAAATTTGAAAGACGTCTCTTATAAAGGAAGATATGTATTACTCAATTGTAAAAGCTCGTTTTTACTTTTTATGAAATTATACCACAATGAAAGAGAAACGAAAAGCTTAAGAGATTCTGTTAAAATATCAATTCTTGTACCTTTATCAACAATAAGGGCGACCCCAAGCCAACAAGGCTTGCACCAAGGCTTGCCCTCATTCCTTTTATCAACAAAGCATGAAAATAAAAATTTTGTACACTCTTCCAGAATGAATAAAGGGATTCTGAATATCTTGTACCTTTCTATAACCTAAGGGATTCTGAATATCTTCAACCCAATAGACGTTGTAATAAGATCAATTATATTCAAGTGTTTCTTATTAAGGGTTAGTCTAATCATACTACCAAAGTAGGAAAGGTCTTACATGTATCAGTATTAGCACTTAATTGCCATAGTATCCACGAACTTACCATGATTAACAAATACAGGAGTGCTCACTTCTTTTACTGCAGGCCTCTTTTCTTCATTAGTAGTTTCCGAATGCTCTGACGCTTGCCTTTTATTGGAATGGGAATTTCCAGTATTCACTGACATTGTCTCCATATCGAGTGACCATTCCTTAATGCAAACGACAGTAAAGTGTTGCGTAGCAACTTCCAGTGTGTCACTAACAGACACAGCCACCTGAAATGAAAGACAAAATTTCTGAAGCTACTACTGCTTATCATAAGGAACCTCCACAGGGGGTCGAAAAGAGATGACAGATGCTGGTTAAACATAAGGAACTACCAATACACACTATTTAGAAGCATAATCTTGACAATTGCAAATAAGTGATTCGACCACAAAGTCTTCCATGTTCAAATCTCCAAAAATTACTTCCCTCAAGCTTTACTATTTTCAAAGATCAGATCTTCCAAATTCAAATCTGCATATTTTACTCTCCGTGTTAATTGCAAAAGCGAGCACCATGTACATGCTTTTCAGCAGTTACCCAGTAACCCTATACGGACCTTAAAAGTTGATTCTTTGACAACAGAAGTTGCAAAACAATGAGGCTCTAAAATCTATTCCCTAGGTTCCTTGAGTTGAGTTGGTAAGGATCGTTCTCCTCCCTAGACAAAGGCCTAGGTTTGACTCCCGCTTCCAGAAATCCCTCTTGGTGGGCGATCTGTAAAAACCAAAAAAGGGGCTAAGACCCCTCTGTAAGGCTTGTGGTATGCCCTGGCCTGGGATGGGGCAGCCTCCTCTACCCCTAAACTTTCAGCAAACAAATAAAACCTAATTGAACCGCGTCCTAATTCGACACAAACCCAACTACAAGATGATCATTTAAACAAAACCCAATTCATGGAAACAACAAATTCTTCACATTTACTTTCGATATAAACAAAATGTCAACAATTCTTTTCATATCCATAAAAAACAGATTCGTATAAAAAGGAAAAGTTCACAGAATCCCGAATGCTAAAGAACCCACAAAGATTTTAGCATTTGATTCCAAAAAAAAGTCGAATAAAAAAAAACCCCAACCCCACTTGAGATCTACAAGCACAGTTCATACCAAAAAAACCAGAGATTCGAAAGGGAAAAAGGGATGAAATTATACTTAATGCAAGACGAACAATTACCTTGATCCGCACGTATCACTGAAAGCACTCAGAGATTACAATGATTGACAAAGAGAGTATGGATTGGATTATGATAAATGGAGAAGAAAGCAATTTATTTAATTTATAATATTAATTTCTGAATTTATTTATTTGTTTATGGTATATGTAGCTTGGAGAAATGGTTTCCAGTCACTCTCTGTTGGCGACGTGGATGTGAGTCGGATCGGTGGAGAAGAAATCCTCTCTCCAGATCTCTTCCACCGCTATTAAGTAATCTGGATTTTTAAATTTCATCAAACGGTAAAAAATTATTATATTTTTTAAAAAGTCAAAACAGATGAAACGTTTAGATGGAATTTGAAAAATCTGGATCACTTATTTTGTTTCGGTAACCTTGATAGAAGAGATTCGGATAGGAACTCTCCTTGGATTGGTGACCAAGGTCTTACCACGCAATTAAGTAAATGAGGAAACCACGTCCTCCATTTTCTCGCACACCAAAATTTAATTTTGATGCAAAATTTGTATTTTTCCCAAAAGGAAAAATCATTTTCTACACACTTCCTTATATTAAGTAGTTGACTACTTTTTCTTCTCACCTACCACAGAAATCCTTTTTGTTTCAATTACCTTTACTTTTTTTTATAATCGAAATGCTTCTTTATCTTTTGAGTTGTTCTGCTTCGTCGGTCGCTTAAGACCTTAGGTTTCTACTCTTATTTGATAAAATAATGAAATCACTTCACATGGGAGAATGATTTCAATTTAGGGGGTGTATTCAATAGGAATTTTGAGGGATTTTAATTCTTTTAATACAAGGAAAACTAATGAAAATGACTTGAAAACTTTGAGTTTTAACGATAAGGACAAAATAAAGGGTAAAATGAATAGTACCAGGATTGACTTTTCAGTGTAAAAATGTGGTTTTTTGTTAAAGTGAACAGTACCGGGAGCTTTTCGTTAAAGTTCCCTTTAATAAATCTAGGGGTATTCAATCAATATTTTAAGTGATTCTCTGAAATTTAAGGTGTATTCAATTAGAATTTTAAGATAGTTTATTAAAATCTTTAGAAATTCAGGTGTATTAAATTAGGATTTTAAAGAAGTTTATAACATTCTATGTGTATTCAATTAGAAATTGATTTTAAAGAATTTGATAAAGTTGAGGAATTAGAGGGAATTTGAGAGATTTCGTAGTGTATTTTAAGCATCCACAAATCCCACCTCTCCCCATGAGATTTCGAGAAAATTAAATCAAATTTTTATATGGAATCTCTATAAATCAATTAAACTCCATAAAAATCCATTAAAATTTCTCAAATTCTCAATTGAATACACCCCCCTTAGTTCATGACGGCCTGAACCAAGAAATTCCTTACATATGATGCAAAATTGATCTTGTTCTATTATTGATCAAACATTTCTCTATTGTCGTCATGTCACTTAATATTATAGTTAGTGATGTTCGTTTCTACTTTTAATTGAAATGTTTTAATATTGAATTATTTGAGTAGTTCATTATATGACCTTTTTTTTATAGCATATGATAAAATAATTACACTAATTTATCTAAATTACGAAAATGATGATTTGAACTTAGGTGTTGAGAATGTACCACATTGCTCTAATGATGATGCAAGTTGGTCACTTTTTTGTTTTTAATACAAGCAATATTCTTACTCTAAATTACACTAAGTCGTTAAACACATGACACATTGAATTGAATAGAAAAACCCCAACTACTAGAGCAATACCACTAGCACAAAAATATATTGAAAATTATAAACTTAGAATCGTTTTTCTATGAAGTATTGGCATTAAGGTTGAAAATTATAAACTTGTAATCGTTTTTCTATGGAGTCATTGGAATTATGTGACTTATTTTATGGATATACAATCACTTTTCCACCTAACCTTGGTAGAGAAATTCTTACGGCCTGTTTGGTTTCCATGCTCAATCCTAACTTCCTAGGACTTGAGAATACAAAGACTTTCAATCCAACGTTTGGAAATGTTGGGAAACAAAAACAAGGATAAGTATTCTTCTACCCTCATAAGATTTGACAATCCAATTTCCCGCCAACCAAACAGACCTCAACGCTTCGAATGTTCTTTTCTTAATGGTGTATGACTTGTTTAGAAGTGCTTTTAAAATGACCGAAAACGCTTTTGGTGATGGTGTTTTTGAGTTCCAAGAAAGAAGCATCAGTTATATGATTCTTACAGGAAGTGTTTTTCAGACAGAGTTATTTCCGAAACAATTTAAGCTCTAATTGAACAATTTTTGGGTTATATACACAAACAAAAAGAACGGAAAAGGATGGCGAAGGAGAGACAAGTGGAAAGATATCTAGCATTTCCCTTGTCGCCCTATCTTTCTTATGAACAAGAAGCTTGAATTTCGACTTCTCAAACCTACGGTAGAACCATAAGAATAGTAACAGTCGACCAGAGCTATGGCCGAGAAATGCATACCACAGAACTAGCCGAAAGGGGCAGGACTTTAACTTAGAACCTATCTCTTATTGGCAGCCTCGAATCCTCAAGGACGATTCATCTTTGCCTATGATTCTGAAAACCAGCGTCCTTGGTAGCGAAAAAGTGATGGGTGAAACCTTGCAGCAGTTGCAGATCTCTCTCTCTTTCGCCTTTCGCTTTTCAAATTTATTTTCGCATCAGTATTTACAATATAAACACACCTTTTGTAGCCGCGGAGAAAAGTTGCAACTTGTCCTCACTCAAGCAACCAAGCAAACCTTTGTCCTGAGAACGTGCATACTTCACGTCAAGGATGGAATGTTGATGAGGTTCAAGATTCTGGCTCACTTTTAGACTTGGCAATTCCCGCAGCCTCAATCCACGGGTCAGTTCCTCACCATACGCAAACAATGGGTAGCAGTCTGGTATATCTACAATGGCAGACTTTCTCAGCTGAAAGTCATTCAAATGAACTGGCACAGATCCCATCTTATGATAAAAGCAATCATCTACCCTCTTGATAAGAACTTGTGAACCAGAAGGTCTAGCGGATGTATTGGTTTTCGGATGATATGAAGCAACTATGTTATCAGTTGAGGGACTATAAGCTACTGATATACAAACACCTTGATCCTCTAATCCGGGGATGAGAAATGGCCTTCAAGTTTTAGATACGAGTTAGAATATCAACCAGCTCATATGACTTTAATTAAGGTTATGTTTCAGAAAACCTTTTTAGAAGAGTTGGCAGGATACTTTAACCAAAGGGTCTAATCATCACAAGTTTATAACTTTGTATAAACTAACCTTTCTCCAGCAGGACCAGTACTACCCATGTTCCACACGCAAGGGCCAATGGAAGAAGCAGTGAGCAATTTATGAGAAGTGTGACTGAAAGCACGGTTTTGCACGAGGGAGTGTATAGTATGAATTGGCCGGGAGGTCAGCCCAGCCAAAGATAGCAGAGGAACCTTGCTAAAACGCATATCGAACATTAAAAGCATACCATCCTGCCAAATTACAAATGAGCGGATAAGATAATTAGCCGCCAACAATAAACTGATATTTTATCAAATTCGCATAAGATTGACTAAACTAAAACGAAAAAGAAAAAAACATCTAGAGGCGTTCAAATAATGGAAGATAACACTAAGCAGTATTATATGTCCATATACAACCCCCTCTTCATCCACAAAAGAATATAAGCATATGATATAACTTAAACTAAATGGTTAGGGATCAAAACCTGTAAACCAGTATATATACAATGTGGCGTGTTAAGATCCCATGAGCACGACCATGCGGGGCCCTGGATATGCACAGCCATGTTTATTCAGATAAATGGTAGAAAAAAAAGAAAAAAAAGTACATGGTAATGGTAGCACAAAAGTATCCATATAAGCTAACTATCTGTGTCTCCATAAATCCGAAAAGTAAGTACTTCCTAAATAGGTCCCGGGAATCCCTTCTGTTTTATAATGGTAAGTACAGAATCTCATTCGTATAATAGATGCTAGAAAATAATATGACTGATCACTTTTGGAAGTTCCAATATGGGGATCCAATCTTATTTTAGAACCCTGTAATCTGTCATGTGGGCACGATCTGATCACAGAACTTATTCCAAAAAATCTAATATAAAAAAAAAACAGGAAAAATGGGATATTCTGCAGTGAAAATACTCCGCTAGACACACACACGCACGCACACTAGCAGATAAGCGACAACATTTATTCTCTAGACTTGCAACACAGAGTATGGGAAAAATTATACCGGTAAGTCATAAGTGGTGACAAAACTGTTGCTCCCCAAGCTGAAACACAAAACAAAACAAGTAAATTCCAAAAAACAATTGTACCTGAAAATAAAATTCCAACAAATTTCACCTCAATAGTCACATTGGCCAAAAAGATAGAATAGGCAAACCTAAGAAATGATAGTTTCTTCCCCAGTGAAGCTAAAAGGGCGAATCTACCACATGGGGATACACGTAGATCCTTAATGGGCTTTGTACGAGGTGGAAGCTGTATATCTTCACTTTGTCGAGGAGACATCAAGTTGACCTGTGGTAAACCAATTATGCATATGAAAAGTAACAAAATCAGACATATGTATATGCTGAAAACTATATTTTTGTTTTGTTTTTGTTAGTGTTCAACAAGAACTATACTTTCTTCAGCATGTGTGTGCCACCTATTCCAGATATCCTTCGAGCAAGGACCAAAGTTTGAGAAGAAGCATCCATATCAAAAAGTCATGCCCCTTCTACTGCCAGCTCACTCTGTCAATAATATATCTATCCGCTGTCAATGGATGCTATGCATCATATGAAATCAAAATTCTAAAATAGACTCATGGATGACAAGCATCTAACTGCCAAATTCGTGTGTTCACAAGCATATAGAAAACACTGAACCATGAATGAATTTAATATATAATTACAACAAATATGATCAGACCATTGTCATTATCAGACCGTTGTCATTCTCTTTGATCTCTTTTGTATGGTATGTTCACGATTATTTATAATATTTATCAGTCAGTTCTTTTTTGTCTAAAAGAATAAATATATTCTTCTGTTTACTATGAATGGTGTCTGCTTTTGGCTGGAAGCTTAGCGCATATTGTAGAGAGTACTATTCCACCAAACAAGCAAAAAGCAGCCACCATCTCAATGGCACATCAGACACTATAGCCCACCTTCCCCCTAAATGTCATGGCATCTGCCACATTCCCACTACTCAATGCAGATAAGCATGCCCTCTAGTCTCATGCAATCCTCACCACCAAGTACACAGGCTTGTTGTTCGCAACCAAAAAGATCCTATGACCATATTTCCAGAAACCCATCCTCTATTTTTAATCAAACTGATGAATCGATAATCCACCTTTTTTTTAGCTTTGCAAAGACCTTATAGTGTTCATACAAGAAGCAACTCAGCCTTATTGGGATTTACCAAATTCTGATCATGAAAGGGAAATTCCTCTCGTACAGAAAGTTCAAATGCATTCTAGACAAATTTACTACTACAAGGACTACATAAAAAATTGTGGAAGCTACTTGGACAAGGACCCAACTGAATAAAACAAATCACCGAACAATATATGACGTGATAAAGTTGGAGAAAGAATTACGAATAGATGCACCTCCAATTGAAATTTACAGTGAAGAATTCCTTCTCTGAGAAAATTATGGGCAGAGTGATGATCTGCATTATGGCAGCACGTCTCCAATTAAAACAAATTCACTGATTCATTATAGCAGTAGGGCACGTACTTTTAAATGAGTAACAATGAATGTTTTCATCATGTTGTGAGACCCTAAAAAGGATGGTGGGTTATTATGAAATAAATCTTAAGGGGCATTAATTCTTTTAGACACAACCAACTGAAAATAAATTTGCTCAATATAAAAACTGGAAATAAATTTGCAAGGTAAAGTTCTAAAATAGAAATATGACCCCATTGTCTGCCCTGTCTCTGCTCCATCCCTTTCTCTCCTGATGCTGCATCACCTCTGCAGCTAAGTTTCTGGAAAACAAAATGGGGACATCAGTGGAAAAGCAGCTAGCAAGGGATAAAATAGAACTAAGTAGCAAAAACAGATAAATAATCAAAAAAGTTAATTCTTAAACCAAAACTATAAACACAGCAAAATATTTGTTATAAACTTGAAGGGATGAAACAGTTTTCTGCATGAATTAACTGATCCCAAGAAATGAATGCCCAACGCCGTAAGAAAGAGGAAACCAAGATAATACGTCTTTTGAAGATCAAGTTAATTTGAGAAATAAAAATATGAAGTTTACAAAAAAATATACCTCCCCCCAGTTGGTTAATTCCTTGAATAGATTTTCTTGTACACGGAATAAATCATCTTGTATGTCAAGTAAAGAAGCTCTCTGCACATGATAGGAAAAATCATAAAGGCATTCTCCTTTGCCAAATAAAAAAAAGAAAACAAGTATTTTAACTGTTATTGCAACAACTAAGCAACCAAACAGAATGCAGCTTGACAATCTGGTACTCAGTAGTCTTACTTCAGTCTTGAGAGAGGCGACTTCAGCCTCGTATGATCTTACTTTCTGCAGAATGGTTGAGTTCATATTCAAAATAGTGTTTATCATAAACGTTTGAAACTTGTTTAACACGAGATAATACATAATCATCACCTTATGTAGACTTTCATCAAGAACAACTATTGGTGATCCAAACAGCTTTATTATGTCCTTTAGGTTGTACTTTGAATTGCATTGTGTACACTACAGAAAAAAACGATGGGGTGAAACAAATGTAGATAAATGAAAAATAAAAGAACGATGGGTGAAATGAATGTAGATAAATGAAAAAACAAAGAAGGCAGCAGAAAGAACCTTTGCAACAATTCCACCATGTTGTTGAATCCATCTTCTAATGCAAGACAAGCCATATACATGACCACAAGGAAGACAACTTCAAAATGAACAAAGAATGAGTTTAGCCAATTGAATTTTCAATTGAAAGTGATACGTTACGCAGAATACACCTGGAGGAATACAAATAGCACTCTAGCAACAAAAGCAAAATTATTAATTAGAAATTACAGAAGTCAGCACAAAAATTCAAGTGTAATGGCAAGTTGAGAAAGCTAGAATTTAACTTCAACATCGCATTCCCAACAAAGAACCCCTCCCCCACAAAACATTTTTACTTTTTGTTGACGGGAAGCATGCGAGCTGACCCAAAAGTGAGGTCACTAACAACTTAAGAACACCAAGCCTCTTTAACCATTACCGTGTTATGTCAGACTTCCCTCGAGAAGGTACCATATTAATCCAGCACTTTTCATTTGTTGGTGACACGACTATGTTCTGCAGCGCTAATATCGAACAGTCAGGACTCCCCAATTGAGTTCTTCTCAGCTTCTGAGATGGTATTGGGGGTTTATGGGTTAATTTACGCAGATACTTTCGGTGACTGATTAACTTTACCAATTGTTTGGTTGATAAATTTTACTGTTTCCTTGTACCTTTCTGAATTTCAGCATAGAATTTCCGGTTTCGAGTAAACTATTCGAATGAAATAGTAAATTCTCCCGATGCAATCAACAATCCGTTTCTAAAGAACGCAACTTTACTGAATCAAAACAAAAATCAAACTCTCCAAAACGATCAAACAATCTGAATTATTACAACAACAGAAACAAAATTCAAATTCAACACACATGCCAACACAAACCAATAAATTTTCCAGGAAAATAAAAAAAATTCCGGGAAAACCAAGAAGATGGTATATTTGTATTTCTAACCTGACTTGATGATCGCCTTGCGACTCCCACGCCTCCATACAAATAGGACAAAACAAACCCTCCGTATCGCTCAAAGCCAAAACCTTCTTTCTTCTGCCTTCGTCGCCGTCGCCACCGCAATTCGACGACAGCGAAGGAAAGATTTCTCGGCGCTGCTTGGGAATCGGAGTCCGAGCGTCGGTTTGCAGCTCGTGTACTTCCTGCTCGTCCTCTCCGTCGATGAGCATTGCCATCACACTATCAGAGGGCTCGGAAGTAGACATCGTCAGTCGGTTTCGAAGCTCTGCGGTTTCCGGGGGTAAAGTCGTCAGACGAGCACAGAAAAAGGAAGAAGAAAGCAAGTGTAGTTTTACTTGATGCACTATCTGCCGCCAAAATCGTACTTGGGCCACCCCAACCCAAAGCATAAAGTTCTGGCCCAGTTTTGTTGTGATGTTTAAGACCCAAATTCGAGGCCCAAATTTTGTGGGCCGGATATGAAACAAGCCCAGTTGCGTTTCTCCGAAAGTTGTCTTTGGGCATCCACCAAATTTTATAACAAAAAGCCGAAAGGTCGGGTGGTAAAACTTACGACACTGGTTGTATACAATTTTGTGTCAATGTGATGTACGAAGAGCAATTCCACCCCACACCCAGAAATCGAAAAGCCAACCTCCGGCCCAGTCCAAAAAGTTGGGCAATTGGTGGGCCTAAAGTAGCCTGACTGCCTAGTCAGGCAATCTCTGTTTGGTCCTTCGCCTGGGTGCAATGTGACGTCAGACTGACGTCAGCTATGTTATAATTTTTTTTTGCATCAGGTGCATGCATTACTCTTGCCCCTGGGTAGCACATCAAGGGACTAAAAAGGTCGTGGGGCCCATGCTATAGGGATGTCAGGTCCTTCTGCCCCTAGGTGACGTGGCTCATTCTTGTCCGTTAGCTTTCCAACGGTTATAATTTTGAACTGGTGGATTTCCAACGGTTAAGAATTTTGAATTTGAACCCAACACCAGAGTTGCACCACTTTGCATAAATAAAAACAAATTAGCTCCATAACAGATCTTATTTTTATTTATGTCCCAAACACGAGGCTATTGCATTTGAAAAACGTTTTAACCTCACCAATTGTCTTAGTTGATTTCAGGGATGTTTCCTTACATAATTTTTGGGTTTTAAAGAAACACATTCATGTCTTAATGTGTTGTTGAATATGTGTGGTGTTATGTTCGATGTATAATATTGTTTCAACATTAGATTATAGGGCTAACTGAGTTTTAAAATAATCCATGTACTTTCAGGTGTTGTGATTTTTATAAGATCATGAGTTTTAAATTTTCTCACATTGCACCCTAAAGTTTTGACATTTATATCAATTTACACCTTTTGTTTATTTAAATGTCTAATCTTCCAAAATTGATGAGTTTTTTTACTGTCAATGTGGTGCAAATGTAGCTTACACTTTTCAATACCTATGGTGCATAATGAGAAAATTTAAAATTTATGGCCATTTTTTAAAATCACTCCAAACTTGAATAGTGTGAAATGTAGTTAACCCAAATATTATTTAACTTCTTAATTACACTATAATCATCAAAGTTTTAACTTTTTAATTACACTATAATCATCAAAGTTAGATATAGTTATGTTATTGAAAACATAAAAAATCACAAGCTGATCAAAGCTTGGAAGTGGCAAATACAGGCAATTTGGATCTTGTAGGGAGCTTTAATTATTTCCAGTCTTTATCATCACCATCCAACTTAGTGAAGTAGTGCTCAACCATATCATCAGTGATGAGATCCAATTTAGAAGGCTTCCATTTTGGTTTCTTATCCTTGTCCCACAAAGTAGCTTTGCAACCCTCTTTGAAGTCCTTGTTGATCTCCCCATGCAGAATATGACAAGTTATTCGGTACTCGCGAACGAGGCATTCACCGATTCCTTTCACCCTGCCTTCCCTAATGGATCTTAAAGTAATTTTCAAACTCATCGGCGATGCCTTCTTCAGCGATTAAATTGCTGCAGCTAACCATTCTTTATGATCACTAGCCCTAGTGTTTGCCTTAGTAAGTTCCTCCTCAAGGGCACTTACAATTTCTTCCACTGTTGGTTTAGAAAAGTACTTGTCAATAATACCCTTTTTTTAATAAGCACTTTTTCACTCAAAGCTGGTTTCTTCAGTGAGTATTCATTTATAATTGCTGAAATAATAGAAGCAAGATCACAGATTGATGAAGTAGATGAAGCTACTCGGCATGTCAAAGCTTCTTCCAATAAAGACAATTTGGCTGAGGGCACATAGTGAGTCGCTAGGCCATATGCAAGCATTTCAGCTGTTCGGGCAAGGATTCGGCCTTGGCAAAGCTCCCCTGGAGTGTTGGCACTTGACATTGATGTTGGTTGTTGGTCGAGTTCTTGCTGCTTGGTGTGCTACAAGAAGAGAACAAAGTCAGTTTTGAAATGTGTCTTTGTGGGGCCTTAGGTGTAGGCTTTCAGGCTCACAATCAAAACTAACAAAGAGTTAGGCATGCCACTGTTATCTCAATATAATAGATGTTGAACAAATTTGATTTAAGTCGATTACTTGCGCCCCAAGATACTTAAATTTCTTGTTATCAAATGATTGTCCCAGATGGGTTAAGTTTGCATTAAGTTCTTTTTCTTGCCTTATGACCGAGGACTTTTACTTATAATTTTGTATGTTCAGATGAAAGGAGTCCAGAGCCCTCTTAATCATTTGATTGGTTACAGTTAAACGCTTAAAGAAGTGAACTTAACTTGCTTAGCCATATTTGATTATAAATGGGTCTTAAAGCGAGAAACAATTGCAAGTGAGTTAAAACATAACATAATATGCATTTAAACAACAGATCTACAAATTGTAAGTACAAACACAAAGAAGTTGGGCAAGATTCAGGTAAGGTTCAAATCTCTTGCAACCACTTCTCTTTGAGTTTGTAGAAGGGTCGTGGGTAATGGGAAATGGAAATGTAAGTAGGAAATACAAATAAGGTTCCTAAAGGGAATCGATAATACGAATCTAGGATAAGGTAACAGAGCTTCTAATATTGCTAAAAATGGCTTTCTACCAGGAATCTATGGCTAAAAGGTGCAGAATATGGACGAAGTGCAGCTTTTTAGGTATTTACTTGTCTGATAGGCAAGTTTGTATGTCTTTTGTTTGATTGGTTGAGTGTCCTTGCCCCTGGAGCTTACTTCCCCTTTTATAGACGATTTGGCCCGATTGCTTTTAGCTTTGTTCTTGGCCGAAGTGTAACACCCCATCCCCGAAATATTTATTTTTAGGAATTGAGTTTGTTGATAGGCCCAACATAAAACTCTTGTTTATTTAGCCGCCAATATTCATGACCATATAATTAAGTTCCTTAATTCCACAAGTTCTATAACCTTAATTCTCTTATCAAAACATAACAATTTTATGTTGGATTCCTTACCCTTTACCTCTCTTAGATCAATTTTTTCTCCAATCTCAGAATAATTCTCAACTCAATTGAAATTCTCAATTATTTAACCTTCATTTAATTTTATGGCCCAAACTAAACTTCGCTTTACTTAGCTAAATTCTCAATCATGATGCTTTATTTAATTTCTTTACTTCCTTATAAACTATAATCATATTTTAATTACCAAAGTGTCACATCCCGGCCCGGGTCCACCACATCCCGGGCCCGTTCCACCATCGTAGCACGATATTGTCCGTTTTGGGCCGACCACGCCTTCACAGTTTTGTTTTTGGGAACTCACACGAGAATTTCCCAAAAACAAAACCACGAGGGCGTGGTCGGCCCAAAGCGGACAATATCGTGCTACGGTGGTGAAACAGGCTCGGGATGTGGTGGACCCGGGCCGGGATGTGGCAAATGGTATCAGAGCCAATCCATGGCCGGAAGTGTGCCGACGAGGACGTCGAGCCCCTAAGGGGGGTGGATTGTAACATTCCATATTGCCCAGGGGAGTGATCTTTAAATGTATATTCCTATTCCTACCTAGCACGAGGCATTTTGGGAGCTCACTAGCTTCGGGTTCTATTAGAACTCCGAAGTTAAGTGCGTAGTGCACGAGAGCACTCTTAGGATGGGTGACCCACTGGGAAGTTGCTCGTGAGTTCCCAAAAACAAAATCGTGAGGGAATGGTAAGCCCAAAGTGAACAATATCATGCTACGGTGGTAGAACAGGCCCAGGATGTGGTGGACCCGGGCCGGGATGACATCCATGTAGCACGATATTGTCCGCTTTGGGCCTTAACCACACCCTCACGGTTTTGTTTCTAGGAACTCACGAGCAACTTCCCAGTTGGTCACCCATCCTAGGAGTGCTCTCGTGCGTTACTCGCTTAACTTCGGAGTTCCAATGGAACCCGAAGCGAGTGAGTTCCCAAAATTCCTCGTGCTAGGTAGGGATGAGAATATACATTTAAGGATCACTCCCCTGGGCAATATAGGATGTTACAATCTACCCCCCTTAGGGGCCCGACATTTTCGTCGACACATTTCATTATCCAGGCCAAGGGCGGATCACTTCCCGGGCCCGCTCCACCACTGTAGCACGATATTGTCCGTTTTGGGCTTACCATTCCCTTACGGATTTGTTTTTGGGAACTCACGAGCAACTTCCCAGTAGGTCACCCATCCTGGGAATGCTCTAGCCTCATTTTCGCTTAACTTCGGAGTTCCTACGAAACCCAAATCCAGTGAGCTCCCAAAAGGCCTCGTGCTATGTAGGGATGTGGATATACATTTAAGGATCACTCCCCTGGGCAATGTGGGATCTTACAATCCACCCCTCTTATGGGCCAGACGTCTTCGTTGACACACTTCCGGCCAAAGATTGGCTCTGATACCATTTGTCACATCCCCGCCCGGGTCATCACATCCCATGCCCGTTCCACCATCGTAGCACGATATTGTCCGCCACAAGCAACTTCCCAGTGGGTCACCCATCCTGGGAGTGCTCTCGTGTGCTACTTACTTAACTTCGGAGTTCTAATGGAACCCGAAGCCAGTAAGCTCTCAAAAGCCTTGTGCTAGGTAGGGATGAGAATATACATTTAAGGATCACTCATCTGGGCGATGTGAGTTGTTACACAAAGCATATGCTTAGATTTTTCACTAAATCTCCAAATTTCTTCTATTAACTCAACTTCTCAACAAAAGTTAATACTTAATTTTCGAATTATGAGTTACTTACAAAATCTATAACCCAACTCATTTACAAAGAACATAAGATATATGTTATAAATTAATCACCCAATTACTCTTCATAGACAAATTTCAACGTAAGATTAATCTTGATTATTTAAGGCTGTATCTAACTTCTCGTTAGACTGCCTACTTA